GGTTCGCCATCAAGATAGAAGACGTCAGCGTATCGAGAACAGAGTGATTCTAAGTTAGCTCGTTCTTCAGGATTCAGATGGTCCGTACGTAATCGCGAAAGTACTTCGGATGTGCGATCGGTATGTTGTTGAGTGCGCGTGCACTGGGTATTAAATAGTTCTGCGCTAACTGGTCGGTCCATCGAAAATACAACATCATGTTTAGTCGGGTTGGTAATTTCAATAAAACCTCGGTTGTTCTTTACATTAGTAAGACAGTCATGGATAGTGCAATTAGATATTGTCTGTTCAGTCACAAATGCGTCACCGTCATGAAAGTTAATCGGAACACGAATTATTCTAGATGTATTGGCCGGTATTATTTCCTCATAAAGATTACAGTTCCGTGAATCATACATTCGCAGGGGGTTGGTAGAGCTCCGTGTAACTAGGACTTTGTTTTTTAAATCAATGCTAGATTCCAGTTTCTCCAGCAAGTCTAGACCAATTAAGCCATCGAAATAGTTGTGAAATTTATATATGAATAAAGTTATATCACAATCTTCACTAAATTCGCGAAAACATGGTATAGTTATGGAATAATCATTTCCAGTGGTCGCATGAATGTTGGTAACCTCAAAAGGGTCGTAGTTACACTGAGTATTAGGATAGAATTTTTCTACAGCCTCGGGGCTTATAAATGATTGATTCGCCCCTGTATCAACCAATAGTTTTAAGGGTGGACTTGTAATCTGTATGTAAGGAAGTTGTCTTTGTGTTTGTAAATTTATTTCTATTTTTGCTTGTCTGATTTGTGAGTTGTTTGAAAATCCTGATTTTCCGTAGGAGCCTCATCTTGAGGTTCCTCTACATAAGCAGGTATATAGTCATTATGGTTAAATTGTTGCTGCTCATACATTTGGTGATATGTAGGTTCATCATAAGTTGGTTCATAACAGTCGTAATAGTCATTATAATCATTATAGACGTAATAATCACAATGGTCAGTATCATTAAAATTCATCTCTCGGGATTTAAAATAATTAGTGGGCGGTGGATTGCCTTGCTTTGTCCAGTCATGTCCTGTCAGGGGTCTAGGTATGGGCTTAGTAACAAAGTGGCTAACACCACTCATAGGCTGAGGGCCGTTGTTCGAGGCTTGGAAACCTCTCTGTTGGGGCATTCTAAACACATTACTTTGGGGTCTATAATTAGGTGGTGGTGCACCGAAAACTTGTTGTGTTCGCGTGGGGCCACGAATAAAAGGCGTCTGCGGTTTCCAAATTTGCATTGGCCTTGGCGGTTGAAACATTGGTCTAGAAGGTCCTGGCATATAATTTAGCGATTGGGGGAAAGTAAAGGGTCGCGGAGCTGGCAAGTTGAAAGGTCTGTTAACATTATTAGAAGGATTTAATGAAGACGTCGACTGCATTCTCCGCTCAGGTAGCTGGTCGTTGCGTTGCTGCAAGTATAGAGTGTTCATTTCCTCATGAACGAATTCTAACGCTTTCTCTATACTTTCAGGCCGCATACAACGAATACGTGAACCTAGGGGTTCTTTAAGGCCACGAATATAAGCCTGTAAGGTAAGTTTTTTATACAGGGTGCGCTTGGCTTCTATTGTGGTAAGTATGTCCTCGTGCAATGTAACGTACGTCATGATAGTACTGAAAAGACTTTGGCACTTTTCATAAAACTCTTGAGGAGAGCTATCTCTTTGAGTTAAGAGAGCCAAGTCGTTATACAAAGCTGTCTCATCACGCTGATCAGAAAAATTATTTATTAGAGCATTTCTAATACCTAGCCAGTTTTCTGGGATGCCGTTTGAGTTAATTGTTCGCGCTGCATGACCAGTAACTTTGTTAAGAATCCCGTTTAATAACGATAGATTACTAAGTTCGAATCCCGGTTCCGCTCTAACGTATTGTGCTACTAACTGGTCACACAAATGTATGAAGCGCGTAAGTACGTTTGGGTTCCCGTCAAATTCAGGTAATAGGCGTAGAGCCTTGTAAACTTGATCCACCAATTCGACACTCATTTTACTTATATTATCACCTTCGTTCGAATTAAATAAATCACTAAGATTAAAACTATCTTCTAAAGTACTTTCTAAATTTCTATTCGCATCAATTTGCAAGTTTCTACTACTATTATATAACCTATGGTAGGGGAGCCCAAGAGGGGATTTCGGGATTTACTAAAGCGCGGCAGATTAATATACAGGGGATAGCTTGTACTCGGTTAAGTACCTCCACAAAACATGAGGTCCATATATAAAGCCGCCTGTGAAGGAGACAGGATCAGATTAGTAAAAAAAAATTGACCATCAGAAATTCCCGAGCGCATCAGATTAAGGTAGGGTGAGTTAATTACATCCTAAAAGTGTATATTCCACTAATCTGACAATTTGAGAGTGACGGAAAAAAAGGGGAGGGCAACAAACTTGTAAAAAAAACGTCATCTCGACATTCTCGAGCGTAGCTAATTTTTTTTTATTTTGAAGGAAATAATTCAAGAATAATGAAAAATATATAATCTGACGATTTCCGCAAGCCGAAATAACAAAAATTCGTCGATAAAGTTAAATGCGTGCAGCTGCGTGATGCCTACATTTCCTTAAACCGATCGGAATCTACTAAACGGCGTTCTAAATATTTCCCTCAAAATTACATTTCCTGTGAATTTGAACCGATTCGGACCGATAGATTTTGAGAAATTTTGAAAAATCTTAAAAAAATAAGAAATATTTTTTTTTAAAGTGGTTTCTTTATCGATCAACTTCAAAAACTAATCCACCTTTGAGCTTGTAAAACCACGTTGATCGCCACTAAGCTGGTCAAAAGCGGTTGATTCGTTCGAGAGATATCGTGAACGAAAGAAACCCGAAAAAGTGTTTATTCGGGATTACTCCGAAATTTGTGGTTCGATCAATTAAAATTGCAAAATTACTTATGAGGATGATAAAACTGCGTCGAATGCCGCCAACCGCGTGAAAATTGCTTGATCCATTCAAAAGTTATTGCGGTTTGAAAATTCCAAAAATAGTGTTCTATGAAACTTCTATCAGACTTTCGACCTGGGAGAGCTCAAATGCATAGAAATGTTATTTCTTTGAACTCAGCGAGCTCAAAATATCAATTTTAAGCGCCCAGGAATGGAATTAGCGGGAAGTTGCAGGGATGGCCCTTTAGGTGAACCGTTTTTCTAAATTTTTTTTGTCAGATCAGGCGAATCCCTCTAGATAATCGTCAGATTATGAGACAGTACGTTTAGAACATAAAGATGAACCACATATATCTTAATCTGACGCGCTTGAGTATTTCAAAATTGTGATTTTTTTTTGCAAATTATGAAAATGGCTGTGGGTTTGCGTCCCATCGAAATCGTCAGATTAGTGAATGAGAGCTTTTTTTGGTGCACTTAACACTCCCTTAGAAAATCTGACGCGCTCGATATTTTTTTTTTTTTTCATTTTCAACCCTTAAATACAACCACCCGCATCTTGCAAACGATCAGATTAACATACGTACATTATTAAAAATACGTAGGGCATAGATGCTATCAATATCTGACGCGCTCGAGGATGTCCATGCAACAGTTTTTTTTACATATTTAACTATCTATAGCCGCTTCCCCCACCGATGAAAAGGAATTTATCATATAACATTTTTTTCTTCTTATTATCTAAGCTTTGCATCCCAATAGGTCTCTACGACGCTCGAGTAAATCCCCATTTAGCATCGTGGGCTCCCCTACCATAGGGGTCCGTAATTCTCGTGGATGGAAAATTTTGGAATATTACAATTACACAAAGGAATATAAAATAAGGAAAGGTAATAGCAACTCTAGTAAGATCTAGGTACTTACCAAATCATTTGCATTTCTCTGCGGTATCGATAGCTTGATACTCCAACTAGCTGCACACCTGTAGGTTCGATTTAGCCGTTGCCCGTGATCGATTCACTGACTCTAATTCAACTAAATCCTACCGACTGCGCCAATTACGTAGGGTGCAGCCGAGGGATGCAAAAAATGCAAATTTACTTAAAAAACTATATTTAAAAGAAATTACAATTAATTAAAATTACAAATAAGTGCTAAATGATCGATGTTAGATCTAATTATGAAACTAATAAAAATGGAATCCGATATTGTGCGGGGCGATTGACGTCACCGACACATTCCGCTGACCATGCGCCTCGTGCCTCCATTGGTGCCGTGTGGAATGTTTGTCGGGCCGATGCAACGCTGCGATTTAGGCGAGGTGGCTTTGCGTAACATACTTACCTTTCCCTCGCAATATATTTATGAAAATATTATGTATGTATACAAAAATAGTGATAAGTTTACTAGAATAGAACATACGCACAATGTTAATACACGGAACAAACGCAGGCTGCAATTTCCCCGTACTAGACTATCTAAAGTTAGTAATTCTTTTTTTGGGGAAAGGGATACTCTTCTTTAATAAAATCCCAGAGGCTCTTTTATCACTGCCTTTCAATAAATTTAAGAAATGTATTAAAGAAAAGCTGTGTAAAAAGGCTTACTATAAAGTCAACGATTATCTAGTTGATAAAAGGGCCTGGGACTAGTGCTAGACAGGCTACTTCTAATCAATTTGCGATATTTGTTTTAAATAAGTGTTGTTTGATGATTTGCTGTTTTAAAAGAGTACCGAGAGTTTTTTACGCCGGCTTTTTCTCTCGGCCTACACCCTCTGTCTTCTTTGCCGATGAGTAGGGATGCCTTCAAATTTAATGACGTGGAATAAGTGATACATGTATCTTATGTTCCATAATAAACATATTTTTGTTGTTTTATTTGATAATAAACTTTGTATGCCATGACATACATTGCCAACTTAGTAATGAATTACTGCATAACGAACCTGTATGTCACAACATACATTGCCAATTTATTTGATTTCTTTTTGTGATATTTTTTTTGCGATTTATGGGTTTTTTGTTTGCTTGAGCTTGAGTTTTGGTGTATGCAAGCTTTTTTTTTCTTTACAGTTCGCGCTACTAACACGTGGTGGTAGAATTTTAGCTTTGATCCCTACTGAAAATGCACTTTCTGATGATGGTAATGCATCTGACGTCGATGATGAATTATTGGGCGCTCAAATTTCGCATTCAGACTCATCTTCCCCAGCCCCATCTATTGCGAGTTCCTTAGAAAGACTGAATATATTAGATTCCGATGATGAAACCTCAAGCGATGAGAATGTTCGGCTTACACCTGTATTCCAAGAAGTATACCCGAATCCATCACTTGAGCCCGATTGCAGCAATATTCCGATAATAAGTGACATTCCAACCCCTGCCACGCCTGCAACTCCTGCCACGCCTGCTACTCTAAATCCTGCATCTCATGTCGCTTCTGCATCACAAGCTTCGCCTGCACAACCTTCAGTGTCCATACCTAGCACCCCCACTACATCCTCTGCATTACCAACTAGAAAAACGCGATCGAAAAGGCCGACGATTCCTGTTGCTAAACGGTCACGCAGAATCCAAAAGTTCGTTCTGTGCTATAAGTGGAAAAGGGCTGCTGTTTTTCGACGCAAAGGAACTGTGGAAGATATACCAGAAATCGATTCTCAGACACTAACTATTCCTTTGGACTATTTTTACAAGTTTTTTTCCCAAGATGTTATAACTGACATTGTAGAACAAACAAATGCGTATTCAGTGGAAAAAACCGGACGGTCGATTGAATTAGTTGAAGACGAACTTCGAGATTTTCTGGCTATTCACATTATCATGGGGGTCGTGTCCATGCCTTCATATACAGACTATTGGAGTCTGCAATATAGATTCAGTTTAGTTGCAGATCTAATGCCCATAAAAAGGTACCAAAAAATTCGAAGATACCTTCATTTCGTCGACAATAGCACTGATAATAGTGACAGATATCACAAGGTTGGGCCCATAGTTGAAAAAATAAGAGCATATTGTTTAGCTCAAGAAGTCGAGACCAAGTTCAGCATCGACGAAATGATGATACCTTACAAAGGGACTAAGGCCGGCAAGAGACGCCAATATATGAAAGACAAACCCAATAAATGGGGGTTCAAAAACTATGTCAGAGCTGGAGTATCAGGTATGATCTACGATTTTATTCTGTACGGAGGAGAGGACACTTTCAGGTTCCATAATTTCTATGAGTAGAGTTTCTGGGTTTACTTCCAGCGTTTACTGCCAATCACAGTGATGCAGAGCCATTATACCAGCTACTTTGATTTGATAATGTATGTCCATCAACTCATTTTTATAAAGAGGTTTGATTTATGTTTATTTTTAATTAAAGTTATAATACATATTTATGATTTTTATTCTTACTGGTTTTGGTAAGGTATGTCCCAACATACATTCAAATGAATACATATTTCATTACCCACTTGGCAATGTATGTAGTAGCATACATGCTTTTTCAGGAAAACTGAAAACCCTAGATTTTTTTTACTAATTTTCTGGGCATATTTAGGCTCTACACATTCCTATTTCAGTATTTGTTTCAATTCACAATGGTTTAATTTTTTTGCCAAATAAAGGGTCTTAAGTTTTTAAGTTTTAAGGATTTCCGAAAGTATAGTAGCTATATAGATTCCTGCAAGTACTTTGCTATTGAATCATTAGAATATAGACGTAAACAATACGACCTTATGTTTTTACAGGCTTCGAACGGTTTAATTGACTGTCCTGACTTATTGTCGCTTTTACTATTTCACACCCCTTCTTCATACAATACAAGGCAAACCCAACTATTTAAAGTTCCTCGGTCTAATACAAACTATTTACGTAACTCAGTCATGTATCGTATACCTTCAGATTATAACACAAATTACCAGCAAATAGATATATTTAATGTAACTAAAAAATTTTTTTTAAATAATTTTAAATCCTCTGGTATCTTTTATTAATAATGGCTTTGTTATTCTTCCTTTATATTAAATATATATTATAATGAACAATGAATCTTAGAACTTAGAATTTATTATAAATACATATATATATTTTTTGTATTTTTTTTTTATTTGTATAGGTGAAACTGTGCTTTGTGTATGTTTAAATGTGTATTCTGTTTTTGGCTTTTATGTACAGTGTAATTGTTTGAAAAATTAGTGAATTTAATTTAGCGAAAACTTCCAGATTCAATTATTGCTTAAACTTTTGTATTATGTATTTCGGATTCAAATCATGAAATCTTCAATAGGTATCGCTAGAAAGCATTAATACAAATCAGCGTTTGAAGTTTCGAGTCATCATTAATATCACATGCTACTTACTACTAGATGTCGCTGTCCACAAATTTATAGATAAATAATTTAATCAGAGAGAAGGGCAAAGGGCAAAGGGGAGGCGGGTGTAATCATGGCGAGACGGCTAAAGATTTGTTTTAAATATAAATTTGTACTGACATTGTTTATTTTTAGTAAATGAATACACCGACGGTAATTTTTTAAACTTTAAAGAGACAAAAGTATTTATTGTTAATTAAACTAATGTAGCAAAAGAATCAAATTGCCAGTTAAAGAATAATATAGAGCCAATCAACCACGAAGAAAAAATACTAAAAAACTATAACAATAGTAATTGTTACATTTACTAATTGAAACAAAAAAAAATTTAATATATTATAAGTTACTGCATTTCTATGAAAATTATAGATTTTTCAAAATTACACTACAGATTGCGTTCTAGAAAGGTTAGTAAACTATGAACTTTTATCAATATTTATGTTTGCATCCCTCGCCACATAACTCTTAAAGTACTTTGCAGATTCAACATGTGCAGTATCAATGGAAACGTTTGAAGTACATGAAGTCCATACACACAAGCGTTGTTTTTACTTGAAATCGATAAATTAAATAAAAACTCAAGTAACTCAACTTGCGCGGAAAATTAGAAAATTGAAGAATACTTAACCACCATACAATTCAAACTTTTTTAAGTAACCTTATGGCGTTTGACATAACATTAACAGAATGCGTGCTGGAAAAACGAATATCGTTTAAAACAAATGCTTCGAACATATAGATAGAATACATATAAAATAAATTAATAAATTTATTTAAAAAAGGTAAAATATGTTTACTATACTTATAACTAGATCTGCACACTTCAATACTTGTATATGTCACACATATCAGCCCAGTAAACGGCTCTGCTGTCGGTACTATAATACTATGTTAAGTAGGTATACTAATCGCTTGAAATATCATGCAGGACAACGTCTGTCGGGCCCGCTAGTAATGTAAATAAATATAAGTATTTTTTAATAGAAATAACTTAAATAAATTAATTAAGAATAGCTAATACAGAAATAATGCTTTTAACGAATTAAAAAAAAAAGTCCAAATGAAGTTTTCCTCTTAATTACAATAAATCAATTAACATAACTTATAATATTGTTATTTCAACCCAAGACCTAAAAGTATACAAAGCAATGTCAGTTAATTAATATAATAATTATGATAATAGTATTGCCATTGTATGAAAGTTAATATTGACCAGTGTATACAGTACAATATTATTATCCAATTATATCAATTACCATATCCAATATCCTTTGTCATTGTTGCTTTTTAATAATTCAATAAATCTTTAAGTGTCGCATCTTAATCATATACCTACGTTTGTGGCGTTGCCGCACTTGCGTGTTGTTGTCGCTATTCAAAGATTGGCAACCTCGCCTAGGCATCAGCCTTGCGATTCTGTAACTCACTTTACTACTACTTTTACACTAAACAATAAACTACAAGCTCCCTTATCAGAATCCCAAATCATATAATGACTGCTTCACGACTGATTTGAGCGCGACTGCCGCTGCAAAAACCGCTGTGAGAGTTCGAAAAGTGAGTTACAGAATCGCAAGGCAGGCCGTAGGAAAGATTTTCAAAGCGATATTTTATAGTCTGAATATTTGTGTTTTGATACCGCTTCTGACATCCATCGTAAAAAATTTATATTGTCACGAGAGTTACAACTTTTTCTTAGCAATGACTTGTCTATTTACTTTAATTATCTTTGGTAGTACTAAAATAAAACAAACCTATTTTTATGCCAAATATTTATTACGGGTATTAATAAGCTCGTCTTGGGTACATTTATAATTCTTCTTCTCCTTAGGTTCCTACATAAAAATGGAGCTTGAATAACCGTTGACTGCAATAATACCAGTATGCTAATATAACGCTGTACAAATAAATGAATAAGAATATGGATTGTAGAATACAGCTGTCGGAATATACCCAACCTAACCTAACCAAAAGTTATTGCTTGTTTTAAGAATACAAAAAAATATATAATTGTATAAGTTTCATCAAAAATCTAACGGTTTTTAAAGGCCATTCTTGAAATTCCAATGTATTTTTCGTTGGACACCCCAATATTATCTTTTCCACGTCAAAAGATGTGCGTTTCTATTGTCAGCAATTGCAAACCATGATGGAAAAGCTAGCGGCTAAACAACCTAGGCTGGTCAATCGCTCCACGCCACTGCTACTTCACGACAACGCTAGACCACACACTGCACAACAGACGGCTACCAAATTAGAAGAGCTTCAGTTGGAATGTCTAAGACATCATCCGTACTCCCCGGACCTTGCTCCAACAGATTACCATTTTTTTTCGAAATTTGGACAACTTCTTGCAAGGGAAAATATATAACTCTGATGGGGCAGTCCAAATCGCCTTCACAGATTTTATTGATTCCCGTCCGACTGTTTTTTTTTAGTAAGGGGATCAATGAACTACCTATGATATGGCAACAGTGCATAGAAAACAATGGTTCATACTTTGATTAATTAAATATATTATATTTAAAAATATTCGACTTTTTGTTCCTCCCATACAAAACGCCAATTTCATATGTAAGGACCTAATATGTATAAATTACGTGTTACGTTGTTTTCCGCTATGGACTCCTAAACTACCGAACCGATATCAATCAAATTTGCACACCGTGTGCATTGTGCAGTTTGATCTAACTTAAAAGATATAGCTTACATCTCAATGTATACCCGCAATGTTATTTTATTGCAGAATATTTGTTTATTATTTAATAGTCACAATTCTAACAGATGGCGCTGTGTTGAAAGTACCAACGTTTCACATAAGCTACAATGTAATGGCATAATCACCAATAAAGCATGGTGGTCCCCATGACCGGTGTTCTCCTACCGTTATCCATGAATAGTTTACTACTTTGTAATATAACAAAAACCTTAGCCACAGCAACGCTAGGCTGGTCTGCTAGTATATATATATATAACGCTGCCAAGATCTTTTGATCCTTGTCTAAATGGACTCATACTATGGTTGGTTGTTATACTATATATTATAGTTAGGCTATTGTTATAATTAAGTTAGTTAGTTTAAGGTTCATTGTTATGCATTGTTTATTTAATCTATACATATGTCATTAATCTTATTAAAGTCATCTATTACGAATAACTTGTGAAATAACTTTAAGAAACATAGCTTTTCGATGTCGGAAAGATTGCTAAATTCTTAAATCTAGTATGTATATCGAGCCAAAGACAATGTTGATTTGTTTTTGATGTACGTTGACGGAGACAGGAAGTATCTTGCAAGTGATCGTTTTACTTTATTTATGCTCTCTTCAACACTTAATAATCTTTACTGTCAGTCATAAGTGAACATTATGTTATATATAAAAGATTTTTTACTTTACTTTACTAGGAAAATAAGCTGGAAAAGGAGGAGCAGCGCTAACCAGATCCATTCAACTGCGTCAATCGAGTAGCCCGCAACATAAATTATTGTGTACTGTATACACGCACACAAGTGCCACACCTAAACATGTCACGCACACTTAAACAAATCTAAAATTTTTGATTCACATTTTATTTTGTCCTTTTATTTAAGTAAGGGTACACAGGTATTACCGACCACTTTAAGGCAACTTTGAAATGTGATTTTCAAGGTTGTTGAGTGGTTGATAACTTGTTTATTTTTATATGTATATATTTAGAATATGTTATATATTTTAATTTTTTTTTACAAAAATAATAAAAACAATGAAATTGTTTAATGTGTTTCCATCGCCGACACTTTCCAATAGCTATGAAGCTGTTCACGATTTTTATAAATCTATAAGAAAATAAAACAATTTTATGAAACATAAACTTTTCTTCTACTAAATA